CAGATTGATTCATGTGTTAAACAGACTGCAATATAAGCCTACTAGGCCTACACTGTTCACAATATGGGCAAAGCTCGCATGCGAACCAATCTTTCATTGTCTCTATTGGTTGTGTTTGATTGCGTGTTTGTCCATGTTGTACACCTTTACTTGTAGACAATATGATAGAGCAGTTTATACAGCAAAGATTTTTAAACAGCAATAACAGGTTTTACAAAACTACTACCAGGGATTTGATTCTAACGGCCTACATACTGATAGTAACATGCGTCTCATTATTTAGAAACGTCGAGTGATGTGTATGTTGTTTTTGCATTTTAAAGCCCAGAATGTGAACAATCAGTCGGGAAAAATTCAACTGTACAAACATTAACAGTTAGCTGTATTAAATTACGTCAGCAATCTCATACAGATTTACCGCTAAAATTGCCTTAGCGTTGAAGAAACATACGACGTACATCACAGAAAAAGTTAGCCCTGTTAATGTTCAATATAAGAACCTGATCTGCGTGTTTTCATTTCGCCGCATCGCAAACATCCGATTTTGTGCGCGGTTACGATTTTTTGCGACCTCACGCTTTGCCAATAAGAAGCTGATTGGACAAGAGAAATGACGTAAAGCCTTTTCATTGGTGGTTATTTTTTCCAACTACTCAATGCAACGATAGAACATCCCACTGATTGGTCACACGCAATCTTGTGGTCAAGATTTGCACGTCTTGCCCATTAATGATTGAATCTGCGCGAATGTCCTGCGCTAGGCACTCAATGCAGCCAGCACAAAACCAGGAGGCAAATGATACAAATCGCATTGACCATCCAAAGAGGAAAATAAAGATTTTCCCGTCCCTTATTCCCGCACTGGAATCGATATTCTTATACGCCTACATAAGCTTTAATTCTGGCGCAATAAATGGTAGATTAATCCAACAAAATCTTTCTAACACATTGGGTCGTATGAATAAAAAGTAGCAAATGCTATGAACTTCAAGCAAACAGCAAAAGCATTTACTGAAAAGTCAAACCATTAAGAATAAGCAAATGCTTGAATTTGTATGAATAAAACGTTTCTTTGACTATTCAGCATCTAGTATAAATATTAGCAAATGCTTTATGCTTGTGGCTGACTGCACAGCCGAATGGTTTTGCACAAGAGGGCTTCCGTTGTCTGCACGTACAGACATACACAGTGCAGCACGGTGCTGTATCTTGAGACCTCAGCATGGCAGATAAGCACGATGGCAGTAATTTGGATTGCAAAAACTTTGATGAAGAAAATTTGGTTTCTTCAGATTCCCTCCTAAAGGCATACAACTTTTCCTTTCGAATGACATTTGTGGAGGCTGCCATTTTTAACATTAGTAAATGCTCCTCGTTTTCAAGCTTGCCCAGACCCGGTCTTGATAAATGTCAAGTAAATACTCCAATTCTGTAGAACTTACTCATTTTTATTCATACAAAATGAAGCAACTGCTTATTGTCAAGCACAAGCTTAACCCTAACCCCCAAGGGTGTATGTAAAATCATTTTGAAATGGGAAGATTTGGGACTGTTAGTGTTAAAGAGTGAAAAGTAGGGGCCTAAATACTTTAATTTTTAGCAATTGCACAAAAGTAAAAGCATTTGCTTCATTATTTTTCATACAAACACGAGTAAATGCTTCAAAAATGGTAGTAAAAGCAAATGCCACTTTTTATTCATACGACCCAATGGCACTAACGTTGTTCTTAATTTTACTTTACGGTTATAGATTCAATAATTTCCTTGCATAAATGTACTGTGATTTTGAATCTCCATTTGTAATTTTTGCTTTTAGGTTCGTGACTCCGTTAAAATAATCCGTTGAATAATGGTAGCTCTTACAGAGATGTTGACAAACTGATCTTCTTTATACTATTTTAATATCGACTTTTAAGGAGTTGTTGGTGCAAGAACCTAACGTGTCATTGGCTCCGACATTTTCTGCCGTTATTTGCCAGTCCGGCCCCCGACACAGTAAATGATAAATATGTATTTAAAAGATTAATAAATAAACAACTTGATCCAAAAGATAAAAACAAACAACCAAAACAGTGAAGACATGCGTAAAGTTTGGTGATATATGTTCTCCAATGAGGGAATCGGTGTGGGGGGGTGTTGACGCACATTGTTAAAAACCTTTCGCCTCTCTAATCCTAATTCGTCTCCTTAAATCCTTGCAGCGTGGATTAGGTTAAAATGTGGACTCTCGGTGGCTCGTAACTATTTCATCTGTGACATTGAGGTGGTCCAGGCGACCCGTGACCCTGCACAACAAACGGCGAAACGCCTGCTGAAATTTCTTATACTTGAAAGCGTAAATGAAGGGGTTGGCACACGCATTGGACGCCAAAAGAGCCGTCGAAGTGATGTAAATTGTACTTGTGAAGTCTATGGATTGCCATCCCATGTTATGCATGAAAAATATGATCTGATTCAACGACCAACAAAGCACAAAGGTGACAAAAATGATGAGAAGTGTTTTGAGGATATTACGCCGAGCACGCAGGAGTTGTCTGCCATTGTTGTTATGCTGTGCAACTGATTCAGACACCGTTGGAACAATTCGGTGAGCACTTTTTGAAATTTCGATTCCCATTCTGACGTACATGTAAGTCATCAATGCCAGGGGAATCACATACTGCAGAAGGAAAATCAACACTGCCAGCACACCCCCCGTGGGACGGGAATGGCAAACGCCATCTTCATCCACTGACCACTGAAAGAAGGCATAAACTCGGAAAGTCAGTACGACGACCCAAGTGCAAGCTAAAGACAAGGCGATAGCTTTGCGACTGCTGCAATACCTCTCGTAACGATAAGGGTACACAATAGCAAAAAATCGCTCAAAGGTCACGGTCACCAGGCTGTAAGTAGAAGCCACGAAGAATGTCAGCAAAAAATATCGGGAGTTCCAGAGGAAGCATAAGGCGTATCCAGAGGCGTTCTCACCCACTTGATCGACTCTTGGGATGTACTCGTAAAAGATGATAAATATAGATCCCCCCAAATCAATGCTAGCTTGGTGAAGAATCAGAGCATTGGTGCTTGTATGCATGGATCGTTCGAAGACAATTACAAGACAAACCAGGCAATTACCAAGAATTCCCAAGATCCCAGTTGAAGTGTTTATTACACGAAGTAGTACAGCACTCTTCATGATGGCAGACATTTTCACATTCTCCGAGGTACGACGGAGACACAGTTCTAAGGGTTCATCTAGTGGTTACCATCAGACAGAAATGGCGATGGAACATCAGCATCGTCTGTAATTGATGTCCCATCTCGGACTCCCTCATTATCTGGACACTTTATCATCGGTCATTTCCTGGACGTTTATTATTCACACGTCACGATACAGAAGAGATGTGTGATTGGTCATCGCCTTCTCTGGCTCGTACAGTTCGGTGTTTAGGTTTAGCTGCAGAAACAGTGGTTTTGGTCAAAGGTGTTATGCTGGTGCTGTGAGTGTGGCATTTGCATCGAGGTATTTTGAAATTGTGAACCTACACTGCAATAAAGACCTTCATGTCTGCATTCACTCCTCGCAAAGAGCGATGTTGCTTGCCCACGACTGAAGGTGCTTTCTATACAAACTTCATTAACGTTATTTTCTGATCTCTCTCATTTTAGTCAACACAACAGGTGACTGGGTTTCTCAAACCAAGCCTTTATCGAGGACCTTGTTAATTGCGAATGAATCAACACTAGCGACTGGGATTTGGATGAAACTAAAAAAGAGTTCTTTTATCAAGAATGATTCTAAAATGGCACAAATCTAATTGACATCCTATGAAAAAATGGCAAATACGCGTCATCAGTCAGGGCTGTTGTTCTTGGCATTGTAACTTCTTGTTGCTTGCCAAGTTGTGGGGCGATAGACTGAAAGAGTACTGTAAATAAAATCCAAAAAGACTCCACCTTATTAAATTCCTCACACAAGAAATAACCACACATGAACGAATTCATCCAAAGATTTCTATTCGAGGAATCTACTTCGCGTAGACTTGTCCTGGGTTAGATTAATTATCATTTCTTTGTTTTAATTTAATTATCTTTCGGGGAAAACAAACTAATGCGCAGTAAATGAACGTATACGGTTGGCTCGCTGTTAGTTCTACGATTTTCACTGCATGGTTAGCGTCGTATTATCTTCCAGGAAATGTGAAGGTTATGCGTGGTTCGTATTCCAATTATTCCCTAATTTCGAAAAGGGCTGTGTTGGTCTGTAACGCACCCACCACGAACAGCAATTTAATGGAGGTTGACAGTGGTAATCGTCGAGGCTTGTGATTAAAAATACCTACCACATTATAAAACTCCTAATGATACAAACTATTTTAGACAAACCGTTATTTTACGGCGGACAAAAATGAATTCAAAGCAGATGATTAAAAGGACGAAGTTAAATTTAGAACTGAAGGGGTCTATAAGTTCGTTTTATGCTGCCTTTCTTTTGTAAAGGTGTCATAGTCTATTCTTAAACCAGAACGTGATTCATTCCAAGCTTTGGGAAGTGATTGTCTGCCAACATGTATAGAGGCCAAAGGCCTACGGTACAAGCTTCAAAGTCTAAGTGGTAAAAGAAACAACGTGAGAGATGATTTTATGCGGGTTTGTAGTGTCAGAAATGTAGTCAGTAATATTCAAAGTAATTACTGGAAAGCTACTGGAAAGCTCTGATCCAAACGGATGAATGTTGACCAGAATATGACTTCAAACTCTTGAACCGTGTCACAAACACATAGGCCTGTTCTTCCCTTTCTCCAAACTATTCACCGCAAGTACGTTAATTCAGTTAAGTCGTTACTTTTTGATAGCAATCAATTCTTGTCAATTTCAAAGACTGCCTCGTCTTGCAATGTTTTCCCCCAGAGATTCGTTGTTTGTATTTTTGCATGTTTTGTTTTGTTCTTAACATTGGAACGCTTGTCTGTATCGAGGCGAAATTTGATTTTTTATATTTGAATCTTTTTTTACAGAAGTCATATTAAGAGCAACAGTACAAATGGATAAGTACATCACAGTCCAAGAACGTAAGTTATGCAACGCTTATTTCTGACTTACATTTTAATTTCTGATCACCTTTTCAAAACGTAAATCCAAACCATGTCAATTATTGGGCTTTTATATTGTTACTATTCGGGTAGTTTGTGAGGCAAAGAAAAACTACGTCTTGACTGCTGCTGACCAGTCTACTTGGGAGTATGAAGGAATCCCTTTACCGAGTAATGTCTATGAGAGTACGATGCAAGACCTGAAGGAGTGGGAAGCAAGAAAGGAAGATATCTTCGTTGTGACCTACCTCAAAGCTGGTAAGATACGCTACCCAGTTTTCATGATGAGTCTTAAGAGGCATATTCTCTATCCCAACCTCTAACTTTATCTCTGTGCACACTTGATGAGAAACCACGATTCAAGCAGGACTGTGAAAGAACGTGAACATTTGTCAATGAACTGCCTTTCTTGTGTCAGGCTAGCACCATTTCGACACGACTAATTTCATCAAGACGAGCACCTCTGAACGTTCCATTTCTGACCATCATTTTTGACCGGATTCATACATTTGGCCAACACTGTGTCCATTTCACATAAGATTTGACAGTCCTTGTGTCCCAAATGACATATCTCTGGGAACCAACACGTCCAGTGGCAAAACACTGTGACAAATTTGCGCTCTTTCAGGCTGTATTTTTTACACCTTTCCCCATTATTGTACTGATGTCTGTAGGGACAACCTGGGTCTCGGAGATTGTATCCTGCCTGATTCACGACGGCAACATGGACGTCGTTAATAGAAGACATATCACATCACGCGTGCCGTTCCTTGAACTGATCTTCCATGGAACGCCGAAATTTGTAAGATTTAAAATGATTGCTCAGATGAGGTTATAGGAGAATTTAATGTACCGTGCTGATTGAAATCAGGCTCCAGTAGTAGGCCTACGTGTCAAATAGTAATGCGCACAGTTCCAGCGCCGCAGGACAAGCGACCTTATTCAGCTACACTAAGGTTTTCTTGCAAGGCGATGCATTTGACGACTGAACGCTGTGCGATTAATCATGTCTTTATTGGACGCTGACTTGACAGGAAACAGCAATATTGAGGACCACGTTGTTTTTAGGCACTCTTATAGTGTGAGATGTTAATGGTAGGCCTACATTAGGCAAGACTGGGACCAACAAAACAAGTGTAGTATCTGGCAGACTTAAAGTTCTCTAATGCTTACCTTTCTAACTTAGAAAAAAATGTTTCTGGATTTGTTCCCCGTAGTTTGATTCTCCCATAGGTTTGCTAGACAACATTTTATTTGTGAACTGCTGTCACTTTTTTTTCTGGTGCACCAAGTTTTAACTTATCAATCTCTTTTTCGAGGCCTCTTCTAAGTCCTCCGTTTTTTCAACGCGTCATTGTTCTTGTCTCTCAGGTACCACCTAACCACAAGATCTTAGATGATGTTCCTTCTCCTCGCGTTATCAAGTCACACCTCCCCGGTCAGCTTCTGCCTCCAAAAGTCTGGAAGAAGAGGGCCAAGATTATCTACGTGCTCCGTAATCCCAAAGACCTTGCCGTCTCGTTATTTTACTTCGGTAAAGCCTGGCAAGACATGGGATTCGACAAATTTTTGGAAATATTTTTAGCTGGGAAAGGTAGGTTTATATTTTCCGCCCACAACTGGTCTCTGTGGTGGTGACAAAAATTACACGCATTTCTTTGTTATGGATATTGCAGACGCCGTCATCTGTCATTAAGTGATGCATGCCGGTAGCCAGTGCAAGTGGCTGGCAAAAAAAGTGGCCGGCGCGAACCAGTGAACTCAATGGTTGCCCCATCAGTGGTGTGCCCTCGGCAATTATAAACGCCAGGTTTATTGTTTTGGAGGAATGAAAATACTTGTCTAAGACAGTATAGTGTAATTCGACAAACAGAATGAGAAGGCATTACTTCGGTGGCACAAAGCTCATGGACAGGTGGTACGCGCGCGTTACACGTCTCTTCGACCAATAGGATGTCTTGATTTGCGAAATGCACGTGTACGTTGAGCTGAAGAATGTGCGTGTGCGTGCAGTGCCACCGCAATTGTGACGTCTAATCGAGTTAAAGGTGTCTTTCCATTTGCACAGTTTCTGGGTGCGTTGCGTACACGATGAGTTCATGCTTTTTAGTCAACGGTATTGTTTGGTGTCATACAACTGAACATTAATTTTTTGCTCATTGTCATCGGAGTTGGATGGCTGTTTAAATCTGTGACGTATTACATTTGTCGTCACTAATGTTTATAAATTTAATCAAGCTTATTGTCATTCATGACAGTGGACTATGGACCCTGGTGGGAACATTTTCTATTCTTCTGGGAGAGACGACATGAAAGCAACGTCTGCGTAATTCAGTATGAGGACATGCAAAGAGTAAGTCATTCATTTCAAACTAAATATCTTCTGTGGAAAAACACATACAGCTGACCCAAACAGCTAATCTTGCGCTTCAAAGACTATCCAATACATGTAGTATGAAAACCAATCACAATACATACAAGTACATACATACCACGTTCCCAAATATACGATACAATAAGATTTCAAGAGGTGTCAGACAATCTGTGACATTGTTGTCTTGCGTTATCATTCTGAAGGACGGAATTCGCATGTCAACAAATTCAAGTTTCCATGAAGAAACCACGAACATCATAATTATTAACTAGCTCACCGATTAAAATGTAAAAAACCCAATCGTGTCCTGCCTTTGATACGTGTACATGTGTAATGTGTACGCTACGCTTGGTCTTGTTTCCTCTCCTTCAGAATCTGAAAGACAGCGTGACTACAATAGGGAAGCTCCTAGGCAAGGAGTTAAGTGACCAGACCATAGATGCTATCGTAGATCACTGTTCGTTTGACAACATGAAGAGCAACCCCATGGCAAATATGGATACCATCAGGCTAAACAAACCACACCAATTCATGAGGAAAGGTAGGTTATTCAGTGTTGCTTTAGTCAACTCATCCGTCCACCATCGTATCCTCTTACCTCCGTGCTTCCACTTCACTCCTTGGCAACTCGAGCATTTTTGTTATCCGTCTTGTGTCACGCAGGGATCGTTGGCGATTGGAAGACTCACTTCACAGTGGCTCAAAACGAGAGGATGGACGCATTTATCCAAGCGAAATTGACGGGAACTGGCTTAGCATTCCACTTTGAATAAGATGTCCAAGGGCAATACACGTGCGCCGCACTACTTGAGTTTTTGAAGGGAGGTACCAAATACATGTGGGTCTACATGTATATCAATACGTACATTGTTTTGAACAAATACCGCATACGTTCTTACCAGTGATCATTACGGTATATGTTGTGGATTCCTTTCTCATGAATTCATTTGTTTCCAGAAACTCAGACAAGAAACCTGAGAGTCGACTACTATATGTAAATATAAAACTGCATTTTGCGATTCCCTTTATGTCATGAACCTGAACAGTAAGAATTTCTGCTCTAAAACTAACTTTTCTAGCCTACATGTCAACAGAGGGCGAAGTCCATTAATCGGTTAACTTCCTTACGTAATCACATCAACGAATGCACAAGAATCGATACCGAAATCAACCGGTGGGGTAAATAGCCATTTCTTGTCTTTTTCCCCTAAACAGGTCCATCCATTTCAAAGAGCACGAAACAAAGTGGAGGATTGCAGAACACACAAACATTGAACTGATTGAACATACGAAATTATAAGCAAATGCCTTTTATTTTTGTTTTCCTTTGTACAAGAAGCTACTGTACATCTATGTACATGTATTCACAAATTCTGTTCATAAAAAATATGAACTTTGTAGAAAAGGACTTAAAGAGGCAACAAATGACCCAAGCTCTCCAAAGAAACAGCAAATTTGCCACTGCTTCGACTGGAACACAAATTTGTTTTCTTGGAAAATATTTATCTTAATCATGACACTAGGGAAGACAAGTCGACTTCTATTGAAATGGTCAAAATTGAAAATAAAGGAGAGTTAATTCATCAACTCTTTTCCCAAGATGATCTCTATCAAACACTTATTTCTTAAAAAAAAGGTTTAAAATGAAGTCCTGTCCTAAACTTCTGACATTCCTTATGACATCATTGCCATTTGTAGTCTATTGCACTTGTAGGTAATGTCTCGTTGAGATGTCACTTTGCTTCAATCTCTCGTGAACTACTAGGACCTTTTTCTAACCTTGCTGCAGCCAATTCCTCTGCTTCTGCTTGCGCTTGGAACTGAGCAACTCTGTCCAAAAACTAAACCAAAAACAATAACAAATGGTAAGCTTAATTTCTACCAATAACCTGGTGGTCATTTTTCCAAGCAAATCTCCTTGAATTGTCTGAATCTCTCACTGTGCAGGAAACCAATGGTAAATCCTTTGCACTTCAGCTTTCAATACCTATGAGCATATCCAATCCCATGTCAAGCAAAATAGTTAGCTAAGTTTACAATCCCGCAAAATTCTCCACAACCTACTCACATTTCACAACATCAGAGAAGTTTGGAAACTCACAATATTTTTGCAGTGCTGCTGTTTTACAATTAAACATAAGCAACGGTGTCACTGGTGCCAAGCATAAAGGAATCAACAATGTAATCTGAACTCACCTCAGGCATCCTGGTATCCTTCTTCTCCACAAATTCTTTGAATGATTTGGATCCATGTAGGGGAGCTAGCTGCTCATCCATTGCCAGACTTTTCTTCTTGGATTCCGACATCTCTTTATCTTTCATTGCTTTGGGGTCTTCCAGAGGCTGAAAATATGACAAAAGAATTTAAAATTTATTAGGTTTGAATTTCCTGCAAGAATTTCACCCCATTTTGATTTACTGCAATTTGTTATTGCAAGAACTTAAAAAATCTAGCAACTCTCTCGATTGCCAATTTGAGCTAATTCACTGGCTTGCTGCAACACAACTTGTCTTGCAATAGTCAACCTATCAGGGTAGAATTGTGTGAGAATACGGACGATTCACAATACTGTGCCCCATGAGTCTCCAACGCGTTGGCCAATCACGACGTGCGAAATTTGTCGACCCTTTCCGAACGTGCATTGGGTCAACAGATTTTGCGCATTGTGATAGGCCAATGCGTTGCAGACTCTTGGTGGCGCACTATTGTTAATTGCTCATATTGCATCAACGCAGCTTGTGAAGTACTGTCCAATACAGAAAATGTAAATGGCACAGGATGCACAAAATCTGAGACAGACAAATAGCCCAGCCTATAAAATTCCATAGGGTTGCCCAAGGGACGTAGCTAACTTGCAGACAGCGACAGGTCAATTTCTAACTGCTGTCCCCAAAAAGTTTGAACCTATGAAAAACTAAAAGATGTGTAAAATGGAAGTGTTTAAGAAACTATGTGCCACCATGACATGAAGCCAAGTCTCTTCTGGTTCTCTGGGTCCAAGAAAACCCATGGAAGTTAAAAAACCCGGGTTTTGGAACGGCATGGCTCCATCAGACAATGCCTCAACTCTGTCTGAACAAACCCTGTTTCTTGATCTACTTGAGAGTAACTTTACCTCATCATTTCTTCGTCGACTCCACGTCTTAGGCGCTAAGTACCAAGCACCATACTTCATTTTCACCCAGCTGGGTTGATAACCTCCATACTGTCAATAAAAACATCATTACATCGTATAAAGATGTTAACATTTAACTGCCGTACAACAAAAACATTCCCACATCTGGGCCGTTTTCCAATACTTGACTTGGGCTCCGTCTCAGGCTTCAACTGTTTTTTTTACTTCCTGACTTTGAGGTTGTAAGCGCAATAGTAAGTCTGATAGTGCCACCAAACATCAAGTAAGATGCAAAAGAGCCAAACATTACAGTACTTCAATTTAAGTTAAATGCTTCAGGCCCACAATCAGGGTTGGTTTCCTACATGAAACCTGAGACAGAGACGAAGTTGAGTATTGGAAAACGACCCTGTTCTAAAAGCATTTCTTTTAGCAATGAAATCAAGGTTTCTGTTGAGTACCCTCGGGTTCTTTTCAGAACACACATGGTCAGAAAGAGATATCCTTGCACAGTGCAACCGCAAACCTTGCTACCTTCCCCACGCAAATCTTAGCTCAAGGTTTCTGTATCCTCACAATCCTGGGGCAATTTGTGGACAGTTGTACTGTGATAACCATCATTCTCTGTCTTGGAGTGTGAAGGAAGGCTAGAGACACATTATGACAGGCAAACCCATGGAAAGCTCTGTCTACAAATCTGCCCTGACAGAATTCAAACCTTGGTCACACAGGGAGAAGGTTAACAAAAGCACTCCTATGCCAACCTTTCCATGAATAAGATTACTCACCAGTTGCTTTTGAGTTTTCTCCACCTGTTCCAATGTCTGTGTTGGTATCTCCTCTTGCGAGACGGTTGCAGACATTCTCAGTTCTGGGGGAACATTTGTCAGCTCGACAACATGAATTGGAACAGACAGGGCAGGCTTGGTCTCATACCCACTGGCAAATAAACTGTGGATGGTTGACTCCTCCACATTGTTACTATCTCCGCCCAGACCTGACACCCAGTCACAGAACTCCTTGGTGACATTCTTGATGTGTTCATCTTGAGAGGGTGAGTCGCTTCGTCGTCGGTTTGCTTTCCGATCTTCTTTCTGTTGTTCCTCTTTGCGGGGAAGCCAGCGGTATGGATTGCGCACCTTTGCTTCATTGGATGACCTAGATAAAAAAAGACAGTAATCAACCTTCAGGGCCACACACAGACGCAATTTGAGAAAATTAAGTTCACATTAAAATCAGGCATTTACGTTCGTGTTATTGTAATAGTAAGTCATTGGCAAACATTACAATGAGCCAATCCATGTACATGTAAAAGCAAGCATAAAGTCAGCAGCTGCTTTGATCAACACTACTAAACAAATATTTATCATTTACGCTTAAAACTTCTCCTTGAAGTTGACTAAAAGTGATTGAGGTCGTACCACTACATTTCCTGGGTATGACTCACTGAGTTTGCATATAGGCCACCTACCCATCTGATAAGCCTGAGGCTGGTCGATGCTTATCCTCAGATGTTTCAGTCTCTCCATAGGAGTTGGTGAAACCTTCTTCAAAATCATTTTCATCCCCAGCCTCGCTGTCCAGGTTCATTTCTGGGTCCAAAATCTCCACGACATCCTCAAAAATCTACAGAAGAGGGAGCAAACGACATCAGACCCAACCTACCCTTCGTCAATTCACCCCTGGTCTGAATTCTGTTCAATTCAAGTGTTCCTCTATTCTGTAGCTGGAAAGGTTGACAAAATCAATTATTTTCCAGTTTAAGAGTTGGCTGAAGGTTTTGTGTGATTTTGCCCAAACTTTCCATTTCCATTTATTTATTTTTCCAAGCACGATTAGGGGAATGTTTGCCACAAAGACGAGATATCATGACTTTGCCAGGATTTTAAATGTTTCAGTTTCATTCTCATCACATGATAAACCACCAATGCATATTTTTCAAGCTTTTAAAAAAGGAGAAGAGAAGCAACCAACACTTCTCCCCTATTCTACTGAATGGTACAACCCAACATCTACTTTCTTGGGACTTACGTCAGGAGGCATGCTCTCTTCCAGGTGTGGGTAGAGAGCTAGAGGGTGTTGGAGTAATCCAAACTCCATCTCATTAATGTGATCTCTTCTCTGTTGTTGGAGGGGGAGAGTGCGTAGATAGGCCACTTCTTCCTCAGTGAATCGGTGTCGGTTGACTGTCTCTGCCTTGGGGAACTTCATTTGTGTATCACCGTGGATGTTGGGTTCAATCTCTTCCTTCTTGCCCTATAGAGGTGCAAGGACAGACTCGCTATCAGCATTTTTCAAATATTGTATGACAATTTGGTAGAATTAGCATTAACAGTTTTATATCCAAAATGATCGGCAACTCTATGCGCTTTGAACATGTTTGGCAACAATGATGAAAGCTCCCCATGTGTAAAAAGTGGAAGTCGACCTGTTTTGTAATGTGCACTGTACAGAGGCCTATGATTTGTCACTGGAAGACAGAAAATGAAAGTGTTGAGAATTCAACAACAGTGTACATTTATGTTGGTTCCCATCCTGACGAGCCCTTTGAGGAAAGATGATAGGGACTCCAACTTGGTACATGTACGGAAGGACTATAATACCAGCTGAGTTGAGTAAACCTGCACTAAGCTGATCTCATGAAACTGTTGTTGCAGTTAATGCACCCATATGTTATTGATATCTATTTATCTATCAAGGGCGAAACTAACAGGCCAGATATGGCAATGGTTCCTTTGTGCCTTTGGCTACGACCTGCTGAACTTGTTCCATAATCATATAATATTGTCACCAAAGTCACAACAGAGTAATCGTCACTGAATTTTCAATACATACATGTAAGTTCAGTGCCAAGTTTCTTGTGACAATACCATTTGGCAGGGGCAATGACATCAAACTTCCTGTGAGCATAATAGGACCATGTAAAGTAACAAGGATGTAGACTGTCATTCAATACCTTGACTACGATTGAATCTTCCACTTTGGGAGGCAATCCATCTCTGAAGTCATCCAGACCATGGAGAAGAAACTGCCACCGACCTCCATTCAGAGTCTTGGACGCATCACCAGGTTTCTTGGTCTTGATGAACCTGGTCTTCAGTCTTTCTTTGTACCTGGGAGACAAATTCAAGGACAGTTGTGCCAAAGAGCATTCGGATGAAGAGATACTAGTAGACATGAGCAGGGAGGATAGAATAACCGTACATTCCAGTGTGACATCTTAGACCAACCATTTCTGAAGGGGGTATGTTATTTGGCTTTGAGCACACGGCGATGAAGGGAAACTTGTGTGACAAACGTGGGGATGATGGGGGAAGGTAAGATAAGTAATATCATGTATCGTTGGGTGATAGTAACGAGAAAATGAAAAACCCTGCTGCACGCTCCAAGCTTCTCCTGGTCTGGATTTTTATTGGTTTGTAACGCCATGGGATTTTGAAAGTGCCCATTTATTTGCCTGAAACTGCACTTTGTGAATCAAACCTTCCCCTAAAAGTCGTCAAAACTAAATACAGTAAAACTTCGATAAGTCAAACTCGGCCAAGTCGAAGGTGCGCTTGTCTTGAAGTGATGCTTTGTTCCTGCTGAAAGAATAGGTGTTTTTGTACTTCCGTAAGTCGAATTACCAGAGGCCAAAATCCTGCTTAAGTCAAAGTTTTTGTGAGGCTGTTCAAAAAAATGTCGCCATATCGTCTCAAAAAGTACAAACATGGGACCACAGTCTGAGTCATCACTGCCGAGACCACATTGTCTTTAACTCTTGATTCACTTACATAGTATGCTGGCTGCGCAGCTCGCTTCATACACCATGCCACATCATAACCGCAACAAATCCAGGCTTTTAGGCTAGCCTGATTGCCACTGCAAGACCCAATGGTCACGGGACCACAGAAAGCAATGTCACAGCACGCCAGCCTAGCGGACCATTGACAGAAAGCATGTCGTGTTGGCACACACGTTCCGACGACTGATTCCTGAACAACACAATGTCCAGTAGCTGTGATCACACCGAAACTGTACTCTGGACATTGCCGCACTCATGAATCAGTCATCGGCGTGCGTGTGCCAACACAGCATGCTTTTGTGAATGTTCCCATAGGCCAGCGCTGTGTGATGTCGTCTCCAGCACATTAACATACAGTTCAAATCGCTTTTTGAACGAGATGGTGACTTCGAGCTCGATGATAAGACCGTTTCCGTTTTGAAGGGGAAATTTCTATTTCCTTCCCAAATGTGAGTAAACCTTACCATCATTATTGGAATTTTCACTTAATCCAAAGCCTGAAGTATACAGTTTAAGGACAGTTTTGGAGGTGAATTCAAAGGATTTTGATTCGGGGTACAACCTGTTTTGAGTGAATGAATTACATGTATGATGTAACGGAATGGAAAGCCTATGGAAGGTACTTGGACCCTACTATCATGACTATCGCCCGACCAGAGAGGCAGAATCATAAGTTTATGTTGGGGAGAAGATTTGATTGACAAAGTGCAGTTTTAGGTGAAATATATGCGCACATTCAAAATCCCATAGCGTTACCAATAAAAATTAGGACCTGGGAATCACACGGAGTGTGGCTCACAGTTCTGCGAGGAGGCCCCCCTGGCATCACACATGTCACACCCCGGAAAGAGTTCCACACGTCACTAATTTTATCAGCCATCTAGGCCCTAGCTGCACAAATTTACTCACCATGGTTGTTCTCGAATTTTTTTGTCAGTTAAAGTTTTCACAAGTGCCAGATCGTATTTCCATTCTGCCATATTTCCTGAAGTAACGTCTGCTAAGTCTGTTGAACTACAAAAGGAGATAAATCCGGGCGGACGTTACGCTATGGCTCAACACAAACTTATCCACCTTGTGTACAAAATAATGGTTGTTTATGAGCCGCACAACCGCCGCATTTGGCCTAGGGATTGTGCAGCTACTAATGAAAGTAAACCTACCCTTACCTGCCAACTGGGAACAGTTGTAACTTCATTGAATTTTAATTAACTTATAAGTAACTAGGTGAATGTTTTTATCAAATAACCCCTTTGTATTTCAATAACTGTCTTTTTGGGAAGGTCTCGAGCGCATTAATATTGTAAATGTAAAAAGACTCTGTTGCCAAAGTGACAAGATAAACCAAGCTTCGAACTATTGAGGGCGTTTGACAACCGAACTGGACAGCGCTTGAATGCTATGCAAATTGTTCGACGGGGCACAGGAACATTAATGGAGATCGGATAAAAATCTGTTGGTAACAATCATTGATCTCCATTATATAATGGAACATATAGGCCTATACTCGACTGAGACGCTTAGAAAGAGGTAGGCTAAATGCAAATCTCTTAAAAAAACGAACCAAAACCGATCAGTTGGAACTATTAGGGCCTCGGCCGTCCTACGAGCGGTCTAATAAGAAGGCCGGGGGCATACTCGTTGCGGGGCAGTCTGTTCACCAGGCACCGGGGCACTCAAGCGCTCTCACGCACACCACAATATCCGGGGGGGGGGAGGAACCAGAGAATGGAAAGAGCCAATACACAACTTTGTCTGTCGGTCTTGACTGGTGTATTTATTCATGTACAGCTATAGGGGCACCTTATAAGGTGTTTGGTCCAAACAGGGCTGACAACGGCAAAATCCCCTCTCAAGCCCAGTAACTGGGGTTCTAACTCACCCTGGTACACGGCCTAGCTCCGTTGTCGTCAGGCACACCAGGTTGCGCAGCGCAAACACTGACTCCGGGTCCCAGGCAATGAAAAGAGGGAGGCAAGCGGCCCGGGACGCAGAGTGCACCAGCTTGTGACCAAACAGAGCGACAGAAGACCCCGACCGCGTGCGAGCCACGCGCTTAAATACATGTACCCACGCTAGGTACCAACCCCCCACGCAATTTGTGCGCAGCACTATCAGCCTGAGCCTGCGTACCTGTTGTACATAAACTTCAACAAGTCATACCATACAAATTAACTTTTCAGCTACATATTAAAAGTCATTAATTTCCTTTATAATAGTGATGTCATTAAATATGATGACGTTTCAATGTGCTGTTCGCTTAGTTCTTTAACGGCTGGGCAGGTGTACGTTGTCGTCGGACTCTTCCAGGTATGTTTCTAATTCGACAGGTCAAAATGCAAACCATGACTTTCTTGAAATCAGGATGCTTGGTGGCGTAGATAAATGGATTGATGCAACTGTTAAAGCTCAGAACAACAGCCGTATAGGGAAGGGCTCGGTCGTTATTTGAAATGAATAGAGCGATTGCGTATGGGGAAACTAAGGCACAGAAGACGCACACGACGTAGAACATATTCCAGGTGACGAGAAGCTGACGACGCGATATATGCCCTCTAAAGTGTGCTCTATCAATCTGTGCTCTGGTACGACTTGTCTTGGTCGGATCATGTCCATGTTTTATAATCCTGGAGTGACTCCTCACGAAGGAATAAATTTTAGCGTAGCTGCTGATGATAATTAGACATGGCACTGGGTAGAAGACTGCAGCAAGGAAGATGTTTAGAGCCGTGGCAAGTGGATGAGAAGGATCTCTGGTACAACTGGCATGACGAGCGCTGTAGCCGAGTTGCCCAAAGTTGAAGATCAGAGGTACTGAGGCAACCATGATCGCCAATAGCCAAGTCGCTAGGATAATGAAACCCGTCTTGATAGGTGTGTAGATTGTGAGATACGTATGTCTAGTCCATGTGATTAAATGAAGACGGTTAATTGCAATGGTTGATAAGGTCATGACGCTGCAGCCGAAAAACATGATCAGACCAAAGCCACCCATCTGACACAGGAAATCTGGTAATGGCCATCCTCCTGGGTAAAGGAATGACACGATAGTCCATGGCATACTGAGGCAAGCTGCCACGTCAGCTACACTCAAATTAAGGATGAAGAAAGTGGTAATGCAACGCCGTAGTTTCTTGGACAAAAACACAGACATCATAACCACGCTGTTGCCGAACAGGCCAGTCACCACGATGATACAGAGAATGGTAGCTAAGAATCGTCTTTCAGACACAGAGATAGCTGGTGTTACACCTGGATAAACTATTACAGTAGAATTTACCTCCATGTCTGTCGCTATAATCACGACAAAATGTGGGATTTGAAGAGGCGTCTCCTCATCTATCATCATTCGTTCGCATGTGTCAGCCAGTGCTAAGCATTCGTATCAAGTCACATGGTTACGCTTCCCTTGAAGTAAAATTATAAAAGTGTCCTGTAAACGAAATGACGTGTGTAATAGCCTGGAATTGTCTCCGAACGGCTTTGGTAACGTCATGCAAGTAAGATTCAGGCTATACATCACCAATCATCATAGGAAATTCGCACGGACAAGCTTCACTGTTTACTCTTGTAACCCACAGCCAGCACTTCAGTAAAAAGAATTCCCTGAATCGACGACGAGCGCTTTGAACATTTTCTTCAACAGTTGGAACGATTCTTTTTGGATAGTAGACTATGAACCAAATTCCTTCATCACTAGCAGTGAAGTAGCCGATATGAATTGCCAACACGAAACGTGTATTCACCCGTAGCTAGGAATATCCATAAGTATTAATTTTTCAATGAGCTATTGCTGGCTGAAGGAAGCGCCAATTAAAATGGAAGGCAGAAAAGAGTAATATTTTTGTTATGCAAATCAGACAACTGTTGCCCGAGGTACCTGAGGTAATGCGAACGATCCATTATTGCCTGTTTCGTACACGCTCAGTTCTCCCCCAAAATAATTTAGATCAGTATGACAGGCGTGGCTTTTCGCCATCTGCACCCAGTATGTGGCATAGAAACAGACTTCCTTATTTCATTATTTAAAGGTAGCACAAAAATACTATTTTTTGTCAGGATTCATATATTCATATATCTTTGATATATATTGATGTTTTTACTGTGTACTTTATCGTATATTTTTACCGGATTTTTCATTGTATTCTAATGCATGGGAGCACAAATCCTGAGGGGTTGGGAGTATAATCCCCCTTTTTAAATTTTTTTGGGGGGAGGGGTGGACACTGAATCATCTCCCACTTTTTTGAGGTGAAAAAACAGGAAGGCGGATTTGTGGGATATATATATATATCTATCTCAAAGATGTACACCTGTATCATGAACAGCACACTATAGTTTTATGCGGTATCAGTACACATCCCCCTTTCAAATTTCAGAGGCCGGGCAATTTTTTAATTTTACGTCATTCCCCTATCTCCCACCGCGCATCCCCAGGCGCAGGTTTACTCCGGCATTACTAATGACATATTTGTGTGATTTTTTAATCATGTAAAGTGCAATGAGATAAAGTGCAATGACATGTCTTCGATGATTTAACGCATTATAAAAATTTGATTTTGCTCTTATACACTGTTTAGGCTGATTAATGATTTCATATAATGCTTTCATGTGATACGACCATCATCTAGCAAATTATTTTGCCTTGAAGAAAGCACCTATCGTGTATCGTCACCGAGCCAGCATTATAAATAATTCAGCTCGCTTGTTGCAGACGATGATTATTATTTTGCACCTGTACCTTGACAGAAATGATGCGTTATGTACGTACATGCTGCTCTACTATATTGAAGATACCCTCAGCCTGGGAATATTACCAAGGATGTCAATTGGGGGCGGAAAAGAGGATCCAATTACAGGTTGAAAAAGAAAAGAAAAAAAACCCAGCTCCTTTTGGATTGCAATTTGTTCAAAAGCCTTCTCCGTTACACCAGTGGAAATAATAATATCAGACGGTTAGTCCAAAAACGTAGTCGACAAGATTATGTCCGGTTTGGTTAGTTGCATCGTGACTTTTCGCTGCATTTCTCTTCTCTGCTGAGTTCACGTTGACAACTAATTTCCCATTCGAAACCAATATTATTGTGAAAATATGTATCTTATTTACAGACTAAAACAATTGATGTATGATCGTATCACGTAAATGATTGGCTATCGTCAGATAATTGATCGTTTCTATCCTAATTTTGGTTGGGAAGTGGAGTTATCGACTCCTTTTATTCATTCCATGTAAGTACAAGAGGGGCTTCATTCTGTTACAACTTTTGATCACTTATAACACAAAGGATAAGCGCAAGGATTACAATTATTTACAGATAAAATAAAACTGCAATAGGATATTCGCTTCTATGCTTATTATTTTTATAAAGATTTTCTTGTATTTTAAACACAATGGAAAAGAATGTAGGTAGCACTTTACGTATTTTATTACAGTTATGTCTCTATTTAGCCCATCTCCCACCACAGCTTTCATCTAAAACACGCTCGTCGGAAGGTATAAAAAAAAGTGGGGAGGGGTTGGGTTCACCCGTGTTTTCCATCCTTAGTAATCAATTTTTGCGAAGCCGGCCACGGAGTGGAGTTTGGGCCCGCTCAAGGGCCCCGGAAAATTTTGGATTCTAGATGCTGTCTGGTGCAATCTTGGGGACTTTCTGGCTCACTCGCTTCTGTAATTTGGCCCCAAATCTGCTTGCATTTACAAAGTAAAATAATGACAAGAATTTTCAGTAAAACCGTAGAGCCAATATACACGTACGTACTGTACAATAAAACTCGTTTCTTTTGTGTTGCATATATACATTTAAATAGAACAACTCTACTGATTCTGCTAATGTGTCGTGCCTAGTGGCCTTCAATATCCGCAAAATAAATTAATAAGACGTACTGGGATAAATACACCTTCAGTAAGTTTATGATGAAAATTGTAGCGTCTGTATTCAAGTTGTTCAAACTGGCGACGGACATCGTCAGCATACATTACAGGCTGGGTTTAAAAAGATGCCTTCTGTTGTAAAAAAGATGAATGCATTTATTTTTGTTAGGGGATACTATCAGAGAGTAAACTCCGAGTAGTCAACTGGTGTAAGTAAAATTCTCTGGCTGTTTTTATTTCGGAAAAAAATTGTATTCAAAGTTCCCGACAATCTGCACTAACTTTCGATACAAGTAGGGCTGTACTGGCAACAGTTAAAAGACAGATTTCAAAAGACAGACACGATGAACGGCCCTATATGTATGTGTGGGGCTAAGTCGTTCCCACTGCCTATATCAGGTGCATGTCGAATTGTTATTGTGACGATTCTTTAAGTTGTTCTTCAACTTATGACAAGCTGGAATAAATATTTATTGAATGTAAGAACAGCCATACTGTTAAGACTTGTTTGTAACCAGATTGATGACTCGGAGGGCGAGAGTTTACGATTACCGCAACTAAAATCCCTGTCAGTATTACCATGCACCATCTTGTTTTGCATCATGCGTCCTAATCACGCATGCCTTCAATGTGGTCCAACAAGCGTCACTTACATGTACGTGGACCAATTCTGCCGCGGCCATGATGAAATTGGCCCCTTCGGAAGTAAGGCGGGACAAGAACACACACGCTATAGCGCGCGCCGCGGCCGTCAACGTTCAATCAGGCTACCAGTCAGGGGTTGCCGCGTTCGAGTGTGGTGCTCGTGACCCCAGGGCGCATCGGGGAGTACGGGTAAACTGACTCCAGATAATGCGCACGCATCCTTTCAAGCTACCAGGAGTAGCTACTTGAACGAACCATGGGTTTACAACATTTACAAGAATATGACGTAATTTGACGCGACGCCCAAGAAGAGAAAAGATGGCGGATGATCAAGACAAAACAGGCAACTTTTATTTTTTTGCGTCTCAATAAACTGTGTGGGGGGCTGTGCCCCACACTATGGAATTCCATATCTGCCGTCGCCCGTCGTCCGTCGCATTTTGCTTTTTGTTGTATCCCAATTCTGCCATTTACCAGTTCCAAACATGCCATTTTCCGTCGTGCGTCGCCCGTCGTCCGTCGCCCGTCGTGCGTCGGTCGTGCGTCGCGTCGTCCGTCGTGCGTCGCCCGTCAAATGGGTTGCATA